GGTCTTCCATCCACTGGTTCACTTCCTAAATGGTCACAATGGCTGGACCTGGGTTGATCTGAAGCCAAGAGTCAGGAGCTTCTTCCAGGTCTCCCACGTGGGTTCAGGGGCCCAAGCACTTGGGTCCTCTTCTACTGCTTTCCCAGGCCATAGCAGAGAGCTGGAGCAGTGGGGGCTGGAATCAGTACCCATATAAGATGCTGGGGCCACAGGCAGAGGCTTAGCCTACTAAGTCACACTGCCAGCCCCTAAAAAGTAAGCTCTTTTCAGGATAGTTTTAAATTTACAAAACAAACATTGTGAAGTCATACAGGGTTCTTATACACCCCACACCCCCTTCCTCTATTATTAACATCTTATATTAGTAAATCTGTCACAAGTAATAAACTACACTCGGCTTCCTTATAATTAACATCTCAGATTAGTGTGATATGTTTCCATTATGTCGTTCTTTGTCTTCCAAACTGTCATTGGATCACCACTGCAGCGCAATCAAGCCCAGACACCTTGGCGTATCACTACGGGGGTGTGCACCAGGAAAGTTGGATGGCTTGATGAAGCACCTGGAAAGATTCTCAGTCGTTAGGGAAATGCAAGTGAAAACCATGATGAGATCCCATTCCACACCTAGCAGGGTGACTGTTGAAAACAAACAAAAATGGAACTTGATGAGTGTTGGTGAGGATGTAGAGAAATTGGAACCCTTGTACGTGGCTGGTGGACATGGAAAACGGTGCAGCTGCTATGGAAAATAGGATGGTTCTGCAAAAGGCTAAACACAGAATGGCTGTATGATCAGTGGGTCCACTCCTCGATACACACCTAAAAGAATTAACAACAGGGACTCGAGCAGGTACTTGTTCACCAGGTATTCTTTGCAGCGTTATCCACACAAGTCAAAAGGTAGAAACAGCCCGAGTGTCCATTCAAAGGTGAATGGTGGGGCCGGCGCCGCGGCTCACTAGGCTAATCCTCCGCCTAGCGGCGCCGGCACACCGGGTTCTAGTCCCGGTCGGGGCGCCGGATTCTGTCCCGGTTGCCCCTCTTCCAGGCCAGCTCTCTGCTGTGGCTAGGGGAGTGCAGGGGAGGATGGCCCCAAGTGCTTTGGGCCCTGCACCCCCATGGGAAGACCAGGGAAAAGCACCTGGCTCCTGGCTCCCTGCAATCGGGATCAGCGCGGTGCCCCCGCCGGAAGCCCGCCGCCCCGGGGGAACCAATTGGGAGGGGGGACCCAACGGGCAAAAGGAAGACCTTTCTCTCTGTCTCTCTCTCTCTCTCACTGTCCACTAGTCTGCCTGTCAAAAAAAAAAAAAAAAGATGAATGGCTAAACAAAATGTGGCATATACATACAATGGGCTGTTATTTAGCTACACATAGGAATGAAATTCAGGCATGTGCTACAACATGGATGATCCTTGAAAGCATTATGCCAAATTATAGAAGCTGGACATAAAGAACCTACATCTTAGCCATAAAAAGAATCAAATCCCGATATCTGCAACGAAATGCATGCAATTAGAAATCCTTATGCTAAGTGAAATAAGCCAGCCCCAGAAAAACAAATATCACATGTGGCAGGTAATATATGTAGAGAGAGTATCAAAATTGTGTGGATGTCATATCACTTAGTATTTAGTTATTAATATCACTTCACTGAATCATACTATGTAAATGACAACATACTCTTCTTTCCCGTGTTACAAAAATAAAAAAGAAGTGGAGAATGGGGAGGACTCCAGGGGGTACTAGTAATGTTTTGTTCTTAATATGAGTGTTGGTCTTGAGTGTGCTCAGAGGACCAAAAACTCATTTACACTGCTGTGTTTCTTGGTGTGTATACTGCGTTTCAATAAAATGTTAATCACTGTTGTATAATTCCGCTTCTGTGAAATACACAGATTAGGCAAACTAGTGAAGAGCATGTAGATTAGAGTTTCCAGTGTTCCTGGGAATGGGGAGGTATTGCTTAATGAGGACAGAGTTTCTTTTTGTGGGTGATAGGAGAGTTCTGAAAACAGATAGTGGTGATTGTCCAATGATGTGTATGTAATGAATGCCCTGGGATTGTGTGTAATTAATGCATGGATTGGATGTTATATGTATTTTTCTACGATGAGAAAAAGCCCATGCCTGTGTCCATGACTTAGCTCTGCCTGGGGCACACTTGTCTTCCCTCTCTGCCTGCTATGACCCCATCTCACCTCCAGGGCCTCTCACATGCTACTGCGTTCCTCGGTCCCTTCCCTAATTTTTCGTCCCCTCTGTGTCCTCAGGCCGATGTGATCTTTGACTTGAGGTTTCATAGCATGTTGTCTGCTCCTTTGGGGAGGAATCCTTGCCTTCGTCACCAACTAGGACGTAAGTTCTTTGGGCAGGGAGACTCTGCCTTATTCACCTTTGCAGAATTCATTCAACAAATATTTAGTGAGCCCATGCTGTGTGTCAGCCTGGGACACCATGCCAGCACACCACAAAAATTCAATTAATGCTGGACTAGATTGATCCATCTGAGTGATCTCAACTTCAAAGGCTCTGAGAATTTCAGAGGGGAGCAACTTCAAGGCAGAGTGACTTTCCTCTGCATTTGGTAGTCTCGTTAGCTCCCATTCTTGGAGGTAGTGGGCTGCGAAAGGTTGCTTTTCCTTCCTTCTGGCAGCATGGGTCATTCTTCAGTTCTGGAAATCATGTCCTTTTTCCTCCCCAGCTCCAAGCCAGGCGATCTGAGTGAGCCTCCATGTTCTTCCACGATCTTTCTCTTTTGGATACTTTTTTTGTGGTCCAAGGCAGCCGTCCAACACAAGCTGGGATGATCAGAATTTTCCCTTGGGATTTTTGAAACCAGGAAAGAGGACGAGAGCCTGGGAGTCCCAAGGGCATGTTTCCAGCCGTGTAAGAAGGTGGATAGGGTGTGACTGAAGCAGAGAGCGAGGAGGGGGCAGAGGGAAAAAACAGAGCCCCTGGTACCAGTTGCAACAAAAAGCTACATACTTTGTCCATCCCATAGCTTGAAGTTTCAAGTCTTCATTCTATTGCTTGCTTCAATGAATTCCTCTGTACAGTATGTTAGTTTGAGCTGGAATTCTGTTACTTGCAACCAAACTACTGCACCTCCCTAAGCTTCAGTTTTTTTTTTTATCATGAAACGCTGATAAAGACCCTTTTCTCATAGAGTTTGTATGAATATTCAAATTACATGTAAAATGTTTACACATAGTAAGTGCCCAGTAGATGCTAGCAGTGACTACTGTCTGAATCAGGACCCATGGCATGTGCAGACAAGGTGAACAAGGATACAAATCTACCAAGTGAGAAAGGATGCAGCTTTGATTCTGCCATTGACCTTTGCACTTTTTTGCTTAACGTCATATGAAGCTCAGACATGCTGCCCTCCTGGTGACAACCTGAGTTCCGGAGCCCCTTCATCGTGTTTACCCGGTTCTTAAGGATGCGTCTCCAGCGTGGGACCTGAAACACAGACAGCGTGTTCCTGACTCCCAGTGGAGCCTCACCTCACTACGTTCCCATTTGGCTCCAACTGTAGACTCTCAGTGCACAGCTCCAAGGCTTAATTGCACTCTGCGTCTGACTTGCCAAGCACTAAAGCCTTGCTGTGGGAGTGAAGTGTTTTGGGAAATGGGCTGCCCTCACGCCCTCGCTCACTAACCGAGGCTTCACAAAGCGAGAACTGCTGAATGAGTTACCACATCCAAACTTGGTCTCCAGTTGGCTCCTGTGTACTCACCGGGGAAGGACATGTTCAGATGTTCCCTGGGAGCTCTGTGAATTAGTTTGGAAGATATTCTGTCTCTGCTGTGGCATGTACCAGCACATAGTAGGCTCTTAATTGTGCATTTTAGATACACTGTGAATTATTCAAAGCGTTGACACTATAACAACGGCAAGCACTACTGGATACTTTTCTGGCTCAATGGTTCCCAAACTTCCACACATTAGAAACACCTGGGTGATTTAAAGGCGCCTTGATGCTCGGGCCACACCTTGCACCAATGAAATCAGAATCTATTGGCATTAGGGGGTGGAAGACTCCCTAGCTGATCCAAATGTGCAGTCAGGCATGAAAATCAGTGAGAATGCATTTAATCCTCAGGCCGAGTCTAGAAGCAGGTGCTGTGACTACCCACATGGTGCAGGTGAGGAAGCTCAGATGCGAGTGACAGATTAGGAGACTTGCCCAACACCACCCAACAGGGCAATGCCAGAGCTACGTCCTGAAGTGGGCCGTGCGATCCCAGAGCCGCGGTCTCAGCCCCTACACCCAAGGACAAAAGCCTGCCGATCTCTCCCTATGACCCTCTTTCTTCCCTGCCCAATTCAGACCCCATCCTCTCATGAGCTCTCCTCAAACTCTCATTGGCTTTCTGCCTGCAGTGTCAGCCCCCGGAACTCAGTTCTGTCCAATGGAATTATAATGTGACCCAAAATGTCATTTAAATCTTCTGCTGGTCACATTAAAAAAGTAAAAAGCAGGGGTTGGGGGCTGCGGCATAGAGGGTAAAGCCGCTGTCTGCAGTGCTGGCATCCCATATGGGTGCCGGTTCTAGTCCCGGCTGCTCCACTTCTGATCCAGCTCTCTGCTATGGCCTGGGAAAGCAGTGGAAGATGGCCCAAGTGCTTGGGCCCCTGCACCCACGTGGGAGACCTGGAAGAAGCTCCTGGCTCCTGGCTTTGGATCAGTGCAGCTCCAGCCATTGCAGCCATTTGGAGAATGGACCAGCTGATGGAAGACCTTTCTCTTTGTCTCTCTCTCTGCCTTTCTGTAACTCTCCCTTTCAAGTAAATAAATATTAAAAAAAGTAAAAACAGTAGGAGAAATTTGAAGTCAATGTTTTATTTAACCCAATCTATCCTAAGTATTATCCTTTTGGCATGTAATCCATAGGAAACAATATTAGAGGGAGATGCTATTTTTTTTTCATAGTCAGGCTACAAAGCCCCACATGTGTTTTAGACTTGCAGCATATCTCAGGTTGAACTGGCCCTGGCCCAAGTGCTCAGTCCCACACGTGGCTAATGGCTACCACATTGGATGATTCAGCTCTACCTCTTTCTGTACCCTACAGGCAAATGGACTTCCCGAAATGCAAATATCACCAGGCCTTTTGATGTTTTAAGACGCATCCTGGCTTCTCCATTATTCCTAAGATAAAGTCCGTAAGGTTCTTCTTGATGTGGTTCCAAGTCACGCTTCCAGACGACCTGCCCGTAAGCCCTCCAGTTCTGATGCCCGTAAGCCCTCCAGTTCTGATGCCCTTGCTGTCTCCGCCCCGCCCCCGCCCCCGCCCCCACCCCCGCCCGGGCCTCTCTGCTTTCGCTCAATGGCTTTCTCTGCTGGGAACGCCAACCCCGCTCTCCTGCTCTTCCTCCACCTAGAAAATTCCTTTTCGGAGCCCCAACTTGCGTGCCTCCTCCTTTTTTTAAAAATTTTTATTTGACAGGTAGAGTTATAGACAGTGAGAGAGAGACAGAGAGAAAGGTCTTCCTTCTGTTGGTTCACTCCCTAAATGGCTGCTATGGCCGGCGCTACATTGATCCGAAGCCAGGAGCCAGGTGCTTCCTCCTGGTCTCCCATGCAGGTGCAGGGCTCAAGCACTTGGGCCATCCCCCCACTGCCCTCCCGGGCCACAGCAGAGAGCTGGACTGGAAGAGGGGCAACCGGGACTAGAACCTGGTGCCCATATGGGGTGGCGGCGCCGCAGGTGGAGGATTAGCCTAGTGAGCCGCGGTGCCGGCCCCTCCTTTTAATAACCTCCAGGATTCATCTAGAAGGGGCTCAACTCAACCCTGCTACGGTTCATACAAAACTCGGAACACAGTTTCTATTGTATTTGTTGGCTTCACCAGGGCCAAGGCTGGGGTAGCACCTGTCAAAGAGCAGAACTGAGCTGTGACGCCCACCTCGTTTTGTTCACTCTCTCCCCTTGCCCAGTCTTGGTAGAAATGTAGGTGTGGACCCTTGTAATCTAGCTCAGCTCCCAGAACGTGAGAGAGCTCAGTCTGTTGCCACCTGGCCCATGTCCTGCCTCGCCAGTCTCAGCTCTCCTGCCAGGCTTCATTGGCGAGTTTTCTGAAAACGGAGAACACGAACTTGAACAAGAGATGAGGAGGAAAGTGGAGGCTTTCAGCAGTCAGTGGTTCATGAAATAAGAAAGTGTAAATAAAATGTCTGCAAATGCAAGCCCCATGTCCTGTGTCCCTAGGTGGCTGGATGAGTATCGAAATCTTCATGCAAGCTCTAGTGGAAAGAGAAGAGTGTCACACCTCCTGATTTTGTACATTTTCGTCTTCCCCTTTCCCAGTTGGGACTGTTCACAAATGCAAGCCAACAGGCTGGCTGGGTTCTGTGTCAGTCCAAGTCAATACGGGTTGGGGTGAATAACCTGCTTCTCTGATATCCTGAGGCCTCAACCGTCTTCGTCATCACGTGGGGCGGGGGGTGGGGGGAGCAGGGAGAGAATTAGAATGTACTCAGAAGAGCCAGTTTGCAGGTAGATCTAAAGAACATTGCAGTGTTGTTTACGCTCATGAATTCAAGGCACCTGGTGGTCTCAGCGGCTGCAGACATGCGCGTTGAATGAGGAGTTGAGTATATATAAACTTTCGCTTTGCCAGAGCTTGGTGGGTTTCCTCCCAGAGGCCTCGGTTTTTACTGGGAGAGCGGCTGGACACCCGAGGAAGAGGTAACCAGAGGAGCGTTTGTCAGCAGTGCCTGGAGCATCCTCGGGTATCCAGAGGCACCCCTGGAGACAGCAGGAGCGATGCTCTCTCCTGGGCACACTCGATGCTACGGGGTTGATCTAGAGTGAGAGTCAAAGGACAGGCTTCGCAGTTTATGGAAGTGAGGCTGAGGCTGAGAAGACGAGAGAGCCACGTCATCCCTTACCGGGTACCCCTTATCTTCTCTGGGGTTTTTTGCCTTGACTGGTGCTGTTTCAATGTAGACTGGGTGAAGAACCCGGGCCGATCCACATCTACGTGACTAGGAAAGCTTGAAACACACTTTTCTCTTAGAGCTGTAAGTTCTGATGTTTTCTTCTGCCCTCAGTGGGTCATCTTGCACCCCAGCCCCCCAGCATCCTCCATGGAGACTTCCTCGGCCCCTTCTCATACAGCAGCTGATACCTGGGGGTTGGCTCCCACAGCAATCCCCACCTTGCATTTGTTTCAAGCTCTTTTTAAGTTCAAATTGGCACTTTCACACTTGCCGAAAAGCCGAGTGATGACGCATCTGTGTTTGTAGTCTTCCCCTTAGCTCTTGGCGGATGCTGTGGGTTTAACTCGGGATTTTCTCTCTGCTTTATCTGCATGGTGTATCGGATGTGTCTTCCTTCACTGCCTTGCCAGCTCCATTGAGAGAGGACGGGGCTGCCCTCATGAGTGTCTAGATCTTAGTTGTGCTTGTGCATGGGTCCCCGTTCTCTCTTCTGCTGCATTAATTAGGAATTGTTCTGTTGCAAGTGAAGAAAATCAAATTGATTCGGACTTAGGCAGAAAAAGAGAATTCGTTAGCTTCCATCACTGAACAGTGCTAAATCTGGATTGATCCAGTGGCTCAAAGATGTCACCAAGCTGTGATCTTCTGCTCCCAGATTTGTTGTCCTCTCTGTTGGTCGCATCTCCCTGCGGGCGGCTTCTAGAGGCCCCACGACTGTTTCGTGCTCACTGTCAGTAATTGCAGAGGAAAGAGTTCCTTGTACCTGATTCCAGTCCTGAGGAAGTTCAGGGGTTGGGTGCCCTCCGTGAACCCTGTGCTATGATCAGGGATGCACGGTACTTGCATTGGCCAGGGCTTGGTCGCAGGAGCACACCTAGCGCAAGGGTTGAGGCACTGCTGGACCCACGGTGAATGGCAGATGGGGAAGGGGTTGCTACAGGAAGAGGGAGTGGGCAGGCGCCGACAACCTGCTTTCTTCCTTTGCATGAAGACTTTTTTGATAGTGGCTCAACTGCAGGCATCGTCTTTGTCCTTGAACTGCAACTGGGAAGCTGAGGCCCCAGAGTTCGGCTGTATTTCACAGGTAGAGGACCTGCTAGTCACACGTGTGGGAGACCCCAGGCCAACGGCATTTCCCACCAACTGGCCCCATTTTGGGGATTCCCACTAGCCAGTAATTCCCCAGGGGACCACTCGTGGAACTCAGGCGAGCGTGTGACTTAGGATTACAGCTTTTTAAGATGTATTTCGCTGTGACTGACCAGGAGGTGTATAAGGGACAGAGGCTTATCCAGCTCATGGTTCTGGAGACCCAAGGTTTAGGAGCTGTGTCAGGTGACGGTCTTTTGGCTGATGGCGACTCGATAGAGTTCCTAGGCAGCCCAGGGCATCCCCTGGCGAGAGGGGTGCATCCACGAGACAGTGCCAGCCTGCCTTTTATAGCAGACCCTTTCCTGAGATAACCCTTTAGTCCATCAACTCGTTGATCCGTGGATGGGTTAACTTGTTCATGAGGGTGGAATGTTCATTTCCAAGTTGACTGCTAAAGATCCCACCTGGTTGTACCTTGCAATCCCTCATGAAGACCTGTGTGTGTATGTAAATTTGACAACTCTTTTCCTTGGAAATCTTTGGCTATGAGATAAATATTCCCCCTGCATAAACATTGAAAAAGTCTGCTATTTGCTTTCTCAGCTTTTAATTTGCAGCCAGCATGTGATCATGCGACGTAGGCTTTGCAAGCAGATCTTCAAAAGCCTTTTTTTTTTTTTTTTGAAAAATTTATTTGAAAGAAGGAGTTAGAGGTAGAGACAGAGGCAAAGGGTTCACTCCCCAAATGGTGACAGTGGCTGGAGTTCAGCTGATCCAAAGCCAGGAGCTTCCTTGGGGTCTCCATGCAGGTGCAGGGGCCCAAGCGTGTGGGCCATCCTTCACTGCTTTCCTAGGGCACATTAGCAGGCAACTGGATCAGAAGTGGAGCAGCTGGGACTTGAGCCAGCACCTCCATATGTGATGCCAGTGCTGCAGGCTGGGGCTTTAACCTGCTGTACCATAGCACTGGACCCTCAAAAACTTTTTAAACTTGAGAGATGGGCACACGCACACACATATACACAGAAAGTGGGGGGAGGGCTCCTGTCCTCTGGTCACTTCCCAACAATCTACAACCACTGAGGCTGAGCCAGGCTGGAGCTAGGAGTTGGGAATCGGGAGGGTGGAATTCCCAGGAGGGTGGCAGGAACCCAGTCACTTGGGCCATTACCACTGCTTGCCAAGGAGCGCATTAGTGGGAAGCTGGGATCGGGTGCTGGAGCCGGGTTTTGAACCTAGGCATTAAGATGTGGGAAGCAGGTGTCTTCACCTCTAGGCCAAAAGGTCTCTTTCCTCTCCCCTCTCTCTTCAAGAAGGAAGTTGATCCTATTGATTTCAACCCATGCATTAAACAGGAAACAATAATAAATGTGTAGAATTCATATTTTTCTAAAGGGAACTTAAAAGACTGCTGTTACACGTTATGTACAAAACTGGTTTATGCCACATGAACAGAGAATCACAAGTTTGGTTTTGGTACTTTTTGTTCCTCTTTGTATTCAGTTGTATAGAACTTCCAGATTCAGAATGAAAAGAAAGCTGTTCTGTATCAAACCATCTAAAGCAATAAAGGTTATATTTTAAAATGGCAAAAAAAAAAAAAAAAAAAATCAGCTCTTTCTGTTCTCAGAGGCAGTAATGGCAAGAGTGTTGCCTGTGTCTTGGCCGGCACCGTGGCTCCCTAGGCTAATCCTCCGCCTGTGGCACTGGTACCCCAGGTTCTAGTCTCCCCAGTTGGGGCGCCGGATTCTGTCCCGGTTGCCCCTCTTCCAGGCCAGCTCTCTGCTGTGGCCCGGGAGTGCAGTGGAGGATGGCCCAAGTGCTTGGGCCCTGCACCCCATGGGAGACCAGGAGGAAGCAGCTGGCTCCTGGCTTTGGATCAGCGTGATGCGCTGGCAGCAGCGGCCATTGGAGGGTGAACCAACGGTAAAGGAAGACCTTTCTCTCTCTCTCTCTCTCACTGTCTAACTCTGCCTGTCAAAAAAAAGTGTTGCCTGTGTCTGATGCGTCTGGCACACCTTCCTCGGTTTGCCAGACTGGGGAGGTGGCTTTCCGTGTGCTCCATCTGCGTCACTTTCCCTGGTGCAGCTGCCGTCATGTTTGTAGCCAATGCAGCGTCGAGGTCTCACTGTGGACTCGGTGCGTGACCCAGGCCACCTCGTGCACTGTGTGATGGTGCCCCCGTTTCACAGATGAGTTACACAGAAGTGAGGATACCTCTCGGAGTCCCACTGCTCGTGTGGACATGTGAGGATCCGACTCGTGAACCTGCTCTCTTAGCCCTTCTGCAGACTCCTGGGGGTCCAGGCTGTCTTTACACCCCTGACCTCTCTCACATGGCCTGGCTCATGGTCAGCACTCAGTGCATACTCAAACTCTGCCACAGGACAAGGTTTCACTTGGTTCAAGCACTCTGAACATCCATGGGCTGCCTGCCTCCTACCCACCAATTGCACACCTCTCTCCCACTTGCTACCTCCAGGATTTGCTGTCCAATCACCATAAACTATTTGTCACTGCCTTCCCGCACCTGTAACCCTGAACACTCTCGAAATCAACGTGGCAAATCTCTGACCACCAGTGTTCCTTGCTTATCTCTGATCCTAGATTCTTGGGACGCTGGCGATGGAGATTTCTCTGCTCCATTAAGGTCAGGTCCTCATCCCTACTTCCCAAGTCCTCGGTGACCCTCAGGGTTCACATCTTGGGAAGGGCTTTGGCAGAGCTGACCGTGCCTCCTTGTGCAGCCCTGGACATAACAGACCTGGATTCCCTTTGGCATGATGACATCTTGCCTTTTCTGAGATTGATGATGAGGGGGTTGTCAGTCAAATGGCTGCTACAAGAGGGGATGGTGGTTAAGGAAGAAGGGAGAATGCTGTCATCCCGTATTTCTGTAATCGAGTGCTTTCAGGATCAAGAGGCAGAAAACCCAGACTCGATTGCCTTGGACGATGAGGCTTGATTCTCACATGAAAAAACTCAGTAATCAGGGCAGATGTGACAACCTCCAGGAGGATGATTTCTAAGAAGAAAGCAGGCTTTGTCAGGAGCCGCTTCTTGCATCTTATTGGCAAATCTGGATCATGTGGTCATTTATAAACCAATCCGGGCATCAAGAGTGGAGTTAACGTGGATTTGGACCAATCAGGATTTACATATGGGGAGGGAAGACACTGGAACAAAGCCAGAACTCCTAGCCAAGGAAGAATGGGGGAAGGGGGTTCGGAGTCGGCCACATGGTCTCAAAGGGCAAGTGACTTCCCGTTAGAGCATGATGAGTGAGTTAGGACAAGGATAGGGGTGCATTTGTTGGCTTAAGGCAAGAACAAGGGAGCCTAATTCTGTGATGTTTAATGGTAAACTTCCCCTGAATTCTGAAAGTAGGTTTTTCACACTTATACATCTAAGGTAAAAGGAACAACTCAGCTTTATTCTTGACAACCTGGCAGGCCATTGCGGGAACTGTCTCTGCTGGTTTTGCTTTAGAATGCTCTCAACTGTGAGCTTATTTCTGATACCACTAGGATGGCAGTTTCAACGTATGTGCAAGCCTCCTGAATCTCTCTTTCCAGGAAAGTAGTGGGGATCTGGAGACCACTGATGGCTCATCTTGGTTAACTCACAATCGTCCATCCATCCATCTATGTACCTGTACAACCACCCATCCGTTCAGGTGACTCCAGGAGCCCTATGGTAAGTGTTGAGAATACCTCGACAGAGAGCAGATGCATGCTTGCCCTGTGGAGCCTCAGCTGGGGGAGCCACTCTGAGACGAGAGCTCAGGACCTCTCCAGGTTGCTCGGAGTGTACCTTCTGTGTTCAGTCCCCATGCTGGGTGTGGCTGAGAAAGCTTGAGCGTTGGAGAGCCACACCCACGTCCCAAGTGACCGAGCGTGTCATGTCTGCACACGTGCTGAGCTCTGCTTTGCAAACCTTGGGGTTGCTTTGGAGATCACGGGTACAAATGGACAGGGACATCCTTTGAAGTGTGTGAATGGCTTTTAAAATTTTGCTATTACTAAATCTCTGGTTCTGACTCCTGCCCAAAGAAGACCAGCTGGAACCTCTAGCCAAAAACCCAAGAACTAGGCAGTGAAATGTAGTTTTAAAAATACTGCAAAATCGCAAGATGATGATTTGGATGCTGGATTCATTGCTTGAAGGTGTATGACTTGGGCAAGCCACATGGCCTGGGTTAGCTTCACGTGTTTGATATCCGTGGTAGGAACAAGAGCGATAATCTCAGACTGCCAGGGTGGTAGAAGGTCTCCTGGCAAATGTCTGTGTTAAATTCTTTCTCTTGGCCGGCGCTGAAGCTCACTAGGCTAATCCTCCGCCTTGCGGCGCTGGCACACCGGGTTCTAGTCCCGGTTGGGGCGCCGGATTCTCTCCTGGTTGCCCCTCTTCCAGGCCAGCTCTCTGCTGTGGCCAGGGAATGCAGTGGAGGATGGCCCAAGTGCTTGGGCCCTGCACCCCATGGGAGACCAGGATAAGTACCTGGCTCCTGCCATCGGATCAGCGCGGTGTGCTGGCCGCAGCGCGCCAGCCCTGGCGGCCATTGGAGGGTGAACCAACAGCAAAAGGAAGACCTTTCTCTCTGTCTCTCTCTCTCTCACTGTCCACTCTGCCTGTCAAAAAAAAAAAAAAATTCTTTCTCTAACTTAGCCACATGGGGCGTCTTTGACTCTCTCTGGACCCCAGAACAGGAAAGGACACTTCACCTTGGCTATGCAGGTGAGGCTTGGGGACTTAAATATGTGTGGTTTTAGGGAAGAGGATGGTGACACAGGAATTGACTTAGCATTAGCTTGGGCTTTTATTCTGCTTTAATTCTAGTTTAAAAAATAAACTTATGTTTGAATTCCTTTTTTTCATACACTTATTAAGTGTATTTTTTCCTATTAGGAAAAAATTTTTTCATTTGACAAGCAGAGAAACAAAGGTTGAGATAGAGACACCGAGAAAGAGCACTCCCACCTGCTGGTTCATTCCCCAGATGCTTGCAATGGCTGGGGCTGGGATTGGAGCTGGGAGCTGGGAATACAATCCAGGTCTCCCATGTGGGTGTCAGGATCCCAATAACTTCAGCCGTCACTGCTGCCTCCAAGGGTCTACTTGAGTTGGTGTCAGGAGCCAGAGTCAGGGATTGAACCCAGACTCTGATGTGGAATACGGATGTCTTAACTGGCTGCTGTTGGTTTTTTTTTTTTTTTTTTTTGATTTATTTCTTTGAATGTCAGAGTTACAGAGGGCTTGAGGGGGAGAGACAGATGGCCGCAATGGCCAGAGCTGGGCTGGTCCAAAGCCAGAGCTTCCTCTGGGTCTCCATCGTGGGTGCAAGGGCCTAAGGCCTCAGGCCATCTACCCCTGCTTTCCCAGGCACATTAGCAGGGAGCTTGACTGGAAGTGGAGCTGGGACTTGAATCGGTGCCCATATGGGAAGCTGGCTTTGCAGGTGGCAGCTTTATCCACTATGCCATAGTTCTGGCCCTTTAACTGGTTTCTTCACTGCTAGGACAAATGCCTGATCCTAGATTTTCATCGTTGACTGTTGGTGGTAGCTGTTGATTCGTGTCTTGCCTGAGCTGAGAGCTATGAAAAGTGATGTTGGGTCAGAGAGTGACATCTGGTTGCTGGTTTCAAGATGCAGGTGGGAAAGTTGAGCCACTTTCCCCCTTCCTATAAATAGGGAGCTGGGATGAGAGATTACCACCAACATAACAAGTTCATGTGCAAGTTTGTACACGGAGCTCATTATGTCTGTTAAAAGGAAACGGGGAACCACCCCAAGCCGGGCATCCTTGGGCAGGCTTCTCAACTTATCTGCACCCAGCTTTCCCCTACAAAGTGGGGGTCACAGGGATACCTACCTCATAGAAATGTGAGAATAAACTAAGATCAGCATGCACTTAGAACAATGCAGTAAGCACACAATAAGTGCTTCCTTTTAATTAACTTTTTTTTTGGCTTGTACTGGCAAAGAATAGCGTTGGAAAGACACAAGCTCCCAGGTACAGTGTCACTGCCTCTCAACTGGCCTGTGGTCTGGAAGTGGGTGGGATACTTGATGTTTAACTTGGATCTTTCTGCATTGCTAGAAGATTGCCCCTTGTAGCCATTCTTTTTTTTCACAAAAACAGACAAGAACTTTTAGGAAGAGAGCAGAAAACCCCTTGGTCTACATACTCACTGTACTATTTTCACCTCTAGCAGGGACCAACAAACCATGACATCTCCCCCAGATCCGACCTGGGATCTGTCTTTGTGCCACTTCTAAGATGGCCTTGACCCTTCAGGGATTCCATGGGGCCTGTGTGCGGCACAATGGGTTAACTGCAGCTTGTGACACCAGCATCCCATACTGGGGCACCCATTCAAGTCTTAGCTGCTCCACTTCCAATCCAGCTCTCTGCTGTGGCCTGGGAAAGCAGTAGAAGATAGCCCAGGTCCTTGGGCCCCTGTACCCATGTGGGAGACCCAGAGGAAGCTCCTGGCTTCAGATTGGTGCAGTTCTGGCCATTGCGGCCATCTGAGGAGGAAACCATTGGATGGAAGACCTCCCTCCCTCTCTCTGTGAATAAATCTTTAAAAAAAGTGCATTCTCTCTCTCCCCACCCCATGCTCTTTTAAATAATACTTTTAAAAACTGTATATAAAAAATTCAAGATATTTACTATCTGGCTGTTTACTGAAAAGGTTCTCTAGAGCAAAAATAGTGGTTTTGTTTTAAAGATTTTTTATTTATTTGAAAGACTTGGAGAAGCAGAGGCAGAGAGGGCAAGATCTTCTATGCATGGGTTCACTCTCCAAATGGCCACAATGGTCAGGGCTGGGCCAGGCTGAAGCAAGGAGCCAGGAGCTTCATCTGGGTCTCCCACAGGGGTGCAGGGTCCAGGCAGTCAGGACATTTTCCACTGCTTTCCCAGGCACATTAATAGAAAGCTGGGTGGGAAGTGGAGCAGGTGGGACTTGAACAGGTGTCCATATGGGATGCAGGTGGCGGCTTTACCCACTACACCACAGTGCTGGCCCCTAGTGTTTTTTCTTTAAGATTTTAAAAATTTGACAGGTAGAGTTAGACAGTGAGAGAGACAGAAAGGTCTTCCTTCCATTGGTTCACTCCCCAAATCTGTCTGTGCTGATCCGAAGCCAGAAGCCAGGTGCTTCTTCCTGGTCTCTCATGTGGATGCAGGGCCCAAGCACTGGGGCCATCCTCCACTGCACTCCCGGGCCACAGCAGAGAGCTGGACTGGAAGAGAAGCAACTGGGATTAGAACCTGGTGCCTGTATGGGATGCTGGCGCCCTAGGCGGTGGATTAACCAAGTGTACCATGGCACCGGCCCCTTTTTTTAAGATTTATTTTTATTTGAAAGGCTGAGAAAGAGGGATCTTCAGCTGGTGGTTCACTCCCCAAATGGCCACAATGGCTGGAACTGGGTCAGATTGAAGCCAGGACCCCAGAACTCCATCCTGGTCCCATGTGATTATCAGGGGGCCAAGCACTTGGGCCATCTTCTGCTACTTTCCAGGCACATTAGCAGGGAGCCAGATTGGAAGTGGAGCAGCTGGGACATGAACCAGTGCTACGAAGTGGGATGCTGGCATCCCAGGCTGCAGCTTAACCCACTGTGCCACAGTGCTGGTCCCCATGTGTGGTTTTTAAAACGCTCATGATAGCCACTCAGATGGTCTGGTCAGGGGCATGGGACAGTGACTCCTTGGGACCTGGAGCAGGCTTGGCACATAGTAGGTGCTCAGTCAGGGTTCTGATGAAGGCGTTCACAGCAAAGAGGTTCCTCCCTCTGTCTTTGAGACTGGGAGCTCAGAGGCCATGTGTTGCCTCCCTCTGATCTCAGAGCTATTTTAGTAGTAAAAGGTGTTCTCTTAATTGAGTAAATACTTCTTGTTTTCTTACTGTGGCTACTTCTTACCTTCTTCGTGACAGGTGGGTTACGTTTTGTTGGAGGGCACAGTGGGGAGGTAATACTAACAGGGACCACTTGATGGCGGTATACCTCTTAGAAACGGGCTCAGAAAGTGCCTGGCGCCAGGGAGGAGTAGGTCTCCGGATTTCAGGGTCTTGCCCTGGATAGACAGATCTTGTTCTCGACTTGCCCTTGTCACTCACCTATCGTGTGACTGTCAGCAAACGACCTTTAGCCTCAATAGCCTTATATGCAAAAGGCAGATTAGAATCCTGCCCACCTTGGATGTTGTGTCAAGAGACCGACTGGAGAAGGCTCTTTGGAAACCATGTGTGCAGCCGCAGATGTGAGTTTGAAACACAGCCTCCTCGCCGTGGTGCAGCTCCAAAAAGCATGGCAGCTTGGGTGACCTCCTGGGGTCGGGGGGCAGCGCTGTGCAGAGGGGACCGTGTTGTCGGCCGGACGTGAAGGCAATGCTCTCTTCAGAGCTCCTGCCTTGCAGGTTTAAGGGGACAGGAGATGCTATGTGTCAAGCATTTTGCATAGGGTCTGGAAATGTCAGCGGCTGCTTGATGATTTGTGATTCTGCCCTTGGAGCCCCCTCTCATCTCTCCTCTTCCTGCCTCTTCTTTGGCCATTCTGACCCTTGGGAGGGGGGCGTCGCGTTTCTACCTCCAGCGTGGCCAAGGCTGCTGAGTTTTACCTCTCTTTAGTGTGTGTCCTGTCCCTGATGTTCCACCTTGCTCTCCCCACAGTCACTGCCACAGCCTCCCAAGCTCCCTAAACCCTGCCTTGCACCCCACACAGTAGCCATTTTTTATGAAAGACTTATTTGAGAGGCAGAGTTAGAGAGGCAGAGAGAGAGAGAGAGAGAGAGAGAGAGAGATCTTCCATCTGCTGGTTCACTCCCCAAATGGCTGCAATGGCCAGAGCTGAGCTTATCTAGAGCCAGGAGCTTCTTCTGGGTCTTCCATGCAGGTGCAAAGGCCAAAGGACTTGGGCCATCTTCTGCTGCTTTCCCAGGCCACAGCAGAGAGCTGGATTGGAAGTGGAGCAGCTGGGACTCGAATCAGTGCCCATTTGGGATGCTGGCACTACAGGCAACGGCTTTACCTGCTACGCCACAGTGCTGACCCTCATTTATTTTCTTGAAGGCAAATCTGATTACTCCCCAGCTCAAAATCCTCCCATGGCTCTCTACTGCCAGCAAGATACAGTTCAAGTTTCATAACATGGCCTCCTTCTAGGGTATCTGAAAACCTGACTTCTGCCTCCCTCCTTAACCTACCCCCCCCTTTTTTTTTAAATTTTTTTAAAAAGACATTTATTGAAAGGCAAGGTTAGAGAGGTCTTTCATCTGCTGGTTCACTTCCCAGGTGGCCACAATGGCCTGAGCTGAGCTGATCCAACGCCAGGAGCTTCTTCTGGGGCTCCCGCGTGGGTGCAGGGGCCCAAAGACTTGGGCTGTCTTCTGCTTTCCCAGGCCACAGCAAAGAGCTGGATCGGAAAAGGAGCCACTGGGACTTGAACCGGTGCCCTTAAGGGATGCTGGCACTGCAGGCAGCAGCCCCACCCTGCCCTCTTTATCCTTCCAATCTGAACTAAAGTCCAGCTGGGCTCATGTTTAAATGATAAATCAGCTTCTCTTTGCCCCTGGGCCTTTGCACAAGCTGTTCTACCTGGAAATTCTCCCCTTGTTCCTCACCTGGATGCCCTTCTTGGCAAGGTCCTGCTTCCCTTAGTTCCATTCCTTCTCCTTGAAAGTCTCCCCAGACATCTCAAGTATGAGTCGGTGCTCCCTCCCCCCGCCCCCTGCAATCTTCCTGTGCCTGCTTTAATTGGGCACTGCTGCACTGACTGGCCAGTGTCATGAGATGTCAGCTTTGATGGTTGCCTGTCACTTGAGACATGGGTCACCCTGGTAGAGTCCCCATCCCACGTCTGGTGGGAAGCCAAGTGTCCGTCCCAGGTCTGCATTCTGGAGAGCTCATGTGATCCTGGTCTCTCTAGCTTGGCCTCCTGTGCTTCAGAGCTCGGTAGTGTGTTGGGGTCCACATCCCTCAAAGCCCTCTATTTGCCCCCAAGCAACCCAGAGGGAAAACACAGTGCCGCTTCCTTATTTCTTTAAAATGCTGCTTATGGAGGACACTTGGGCATGTGGCAGGAATCGCTGAAGTTCAAGGTGATGGAGGGATGTGGGTGTTGGCATCGTATTTCTTAGAGGTCGTTTGGCCAGCCTTTCAGCAGAAACCTCTCTCCCAAGGTCTCTACTCACTCGCGGGCTCCTCCTCCTGCTCGCCCTCCTTCGCATTTCTCTCTCCATTCTTTTTTCTTAAATTGGCTCTGCTCCTTCTCTGCTACCCTTCACTCAAATTTACATTTAATACAGGGCTGTGTAGGGTCTCCTTCAGTCTCTGCATAGATGGCATCACACCTTAATGCCTGGAATAGCTCGGCAAAACATCTTGTTAGCCACAGGGTACCTTGGAGGAGAGATGCGTCTGTTGTATAGTCCCTGGGTTCCCTACCCCATCTCGTTAGCTGGCCAAGCTCCACGTGAACTCCACGAGAGCAGAGACCCTTCCTGCCTCGTTCACGGCTCCATTCTCGGCACCCAGGACTTGGCTAATGCCTCCTGGGCTCTCGATGTGCGCTGGATGAGTGAGTGACAGAATAGGTGAATGGAGCAGATGCTGCTTAGACTGAACAGTGTTTCCTATTCAACTCTCCTCACCACTTTGGAATTACGGAGAGAGATGGAAGCCCCCTACGTGAATACCATGATAATCTGGGCATAACAGCAGATTAAGACCAGTTTCTCAATGGTTTATTCCGCTCAGCAATCACTTGAGAGTTGACATGACCACAGCTCCGCAAATATGAGAGCTAGGTGGGCTTAAGACCAAGAGGAGGTGAGGGTTTCAAAGGCAAAGAACACTCACGTGTTTGGGGATGACAGGGAGGTAAGCTTCCCTGTGTAACCAAGACCACCAGAAAATCTGTGAGCACTTCCACTGTTGGGATTTTCTTGTACATCTTGTACCTTGTTGCCTAGATGGGTAATGGCCCTTCCACCCATCCCTCCACCCACCTACCCACCCAGCCAGCCATCCACCCATCCACCCATCCACCCATCCCTCCACCTACACATCCATCCATCCAGGAAGCACATATAATGTTGAGGAACAACGCTGCAGTTTCAGTGCTGTGAGATGGGGATGACAGCAGTACCAGCTTAACAACGTGCGCTGGAGACTTAGGTGATCTTCTATGGGAGGAGTCTGGCTGCGTAGCAGAGGCTCGATGGGTGGGGACTGTCCCTATTGATAGGATCTGAATACTGCACCCAAACTCCGGGGTGATATCAAACTCGGCTCGACTTTATTCAGAATCTGAGAGGGAGGACCAGGGTGGAGGGATCCTGAGAAGGGATTTGGCGTCAGGCCTGGCCCACAGGAAGAACAGGGGTGTGGTGGGGGAGGCAAGGCAGGATCCAACTTCCAGGTGCTCCTTCTGCATCGTGATGGACACGTCGTGGGGGCAGGTGGAGGCAGGGACATGGTGTCGATTGGCCCTCTCCCCTCGGGGACAGCTGGTGGACCCAGGCTCAGGCTACGCCAGGGTGCTGTGGGGCCTGATGGGCGTGCTGAGCCGGCCCTGGAGCCAGCTGATGTAATCCTCTTGAGGCATATGGATGATGTGTTCCCGTACAAACTGTGGGACAAACACAGGGTGTTCAAAAAGTTTATGGAAAATGGAGTTGAAAGGTAAGCTTAGTTCAGTGCAAGATTGTTTGGAAATCCACCCATGCTGACAGCTCTGTGGCCTGTCCCAGGCTGGGAACTCCAGGGGTCCCTTTAGCCGGAGGCACTGGAAGCTCTACTAGGATGCACAGATGTTATAGAATTAAGGAAGGGACCTCATCAGTATCGGCTAACATCTTACAGCCAGGAGTCTTTGCTGCACGGCCGGAGGGGACAGAGTCCTGGGACCTCCTCTCATGAGGGTGAACCACTCAGAGATGAAGACCTAACTCTTGGCCCTGCTCTACCAGGGTCTGTGCACACCGGCCTCTCCAGCCCGTGGGGACCCACGCACCTCCCTGCTCACTTCTTCCACACCCACTGCCGGCCACTGTGTTTCTCTCACCCGGTTGGGTCCTGCCCTATAACCTCGACACGTGTCCTGTTTTTGACCCTTTCTCTTCCTAGTGCTGTCTTCACGTTGCTTAGGCCTCAACTTCAAAGCCACGTTCTCCAGTTCGCCCCAGTCCGAGGAGGTGAGCTAACTTACGTTAAACCGGAGCACCTCAAACTTTATCGTGTGGACAGAACACCTGTGGCCCTATTGCCCTGCAAGTCCCGTGCTGGGGAGATAGGGCTTGAAGCTGGGGCTTCTGCTTTTCTTACAAGTTCCCCAGGGAGCCAGGTTCATGCTGTTGGCCCTTGGACCACATTCTGGTAGCAAGGTGCAGGGAGCACCTTCCTATGATTGGCCAAAGTCTCTGGGTTTCCAGTGGGTGCCGTTTGCATAGAATAGAACATCTCTGAGACATGGAGGCCCATGGCCAAGGTCACTTGACCAGTGCCTGGGTGCTGAGAGATGACTGGATGTGGGCATTGTGTGGGGGAAGGGGCACGGGGCTGACCTCGATGGCCACGGCAATGTCGGGGGAGCACAGCTCCCAGACTCTCAGCTCCTGCAGCACCTTCAAGAGGATGTGGGGCCGAATCCTCAGGTCCAAGTTCTCCCCAAACTTCTGCAGTTTCAGCAGGACCTTCTTGGCGGGGAGGAAGTTCTTCAGGTCCTCGGGGAGCTTAGACAGGAGGTCAAAGTACCTTCGATCCCAAAGAGGAAGGGGGGCCGGTTAGGGAGCTGTGGGAGATGGGTCTGGGCTGCCTGCGCCCTCCACCTCTGCGTTCTGTGTCTGCAAGGACAGCGTGCATCTCTCCCTGGGAACTTTCCCCCTGCCCCAGCTCGTGAGGGCACAGGGAGGGGCAGGACTTTGTCTGTAGGGGTTAGGAAATGCTGGAGTGTGACTTGTGTCCATTCGGTGTTGAGGGTGTGCTTTCAAGGGATGCACTTGGCTTTATTTCATGCAGGGAGTGGGAAAAGCTAGATGCAAGGAAGGGATGTTGGGATTGTAGCTTCCCTTCTGAGAGTTAACCAGGCTGGTTGCACGTGGATTACATGCAGGGGATGCGGGAGGTTGGCCCGTGGAAGAGGGCTGCACGTGGATTACATGCAGGGGATGCGGGAGGTTGGCCCGTGGAAGAGGACGTGGGTGCGTGTTTTCCCATGTCCCTGACAGCTCAGTGTGTTCCAGCATCGCAACAGGACCCCAGCCTGGAGAGGTGGGAACAGGCAGGTACTAACCTGCCTCCATGGATGGGTCAGATGTGATCAAGGCTTTGGGCAGGGAATAACATTTCCTTAAAGAAAAGTGACCAGTATTTTGCATAGTGGCTAAGATGCAGCTGGGATGCTTGCATCCGAGTCGGAGTACCTGGGTGTGAGCTCTGGCTCTGCTGTTCAGCTTCCTGCTGATGCTCACCCTGGGAGGCAGCTGTGATGGCTTGTGTAAGTGTCCTACTCACTTGCGGGGGAGCCCTGGTTGACACTCTGGCTCCCAAATGCCATTGTGAGATTGGGGAAGGGGAGTAAGCCTGCAGATGGGAATGCCTGCTCTGTCTCTGCCTTTCAGATAAATAAATGAAACATAACTTTGTTAGAAAAAGTGTCCACTCAACCCCAAGGGATATTCAAAAATTCCATGGAAAATGTGTATTATGAAAAAACCATGCCTGGATCTAAACTTATCTTTTAATTCTATTTTCCATGGGCTTTTAGAAGTAACCCTGGGTCTGTGCCCATTGTGGGAAAATTTTGAAGATACTGATCCTTCATCATCCATCTCTGGCTACTCCTACTGCTTAACTTTTATGGTAGGTATTTACGTATTTATATCTCCTGGTTTAGGATGAAATCCCCATGGGATCAGGACCTTGTCTGAATTACTGAGTATCCATAGTATGAGAAATCTGCTGACTCATAGCAGGTGCACAACAGTTACTACTTGAAGGACTGAGTGAGTAACTGGATGGATGAAGAATTAGGACTGGGCGTCACATTAGGCTGGGTGTGTCTGCCTAGGTTTTCATGTCGCTACAGAGGACAACCGCTCCCCCCAGGAAGATGCTGGAAATTCAACTCCTAGAGGATGGGTTGAAGCCCACCGTGGAGGGCCAGTGTTCATCTCCCACTGCGATACTCCTATGTGGCTAGTTTATGACTTTTCTCCCCCTGCCTGACATCCACTTCCCTCCCAAGGAGGGGAGAGGGGTCACAGAAGACCCCTTGCCCCTGAGAGCCTCAGGGTGGGTGTTGGGAGGAGGATTGCTCTGTGAGGGAGAGGCAGTGGGGAAGGTCCCACCACCCCGCCAGGAACCCAGGCACTGGCTTGAAGCTCCCATCCCGTGGTACTATAGTCACGGAAGGGATTCTGGACACACCTTTTGGGCTTTGTCATCTTCCGCTGTTAGGATGGGGACAGCACAGCTCATGGGACTTCAATGCTATATTCTTGCAAGTGAGCATACAGACTGGGGTCAGGTGGGGGTCTACATCCTAAATTCACCATTTGCTATGGAAGTGATCTTGGACAAGTTATCTGTTTTCCTGTTTGTGAAATAGGGGTTGCATTGTATGCCCTGAGGATTTCTTCTGGTATGGGATGAACTAGATAATTAATGGAAGTTCCTCAGGTAGCACCTGCCATCCACCAGTCACTCAATTAGGGCTGCATAGTGTTGTTACTTTGTTACCACCCTTGGGATGAGGCACAGTGGCCCTAGGATATACATGCCCAGGCATCCTTTAGGGATTAAACGTGAGAGGAAATGAGCGGATCACCCCACAGACCTAAAAATCCATGGGGAATTTTGTGTTGGTGAGCCTCACCCAGTGGGTGGGCAGGGTGGTCCTTAGCTGTGGATCTGAATTGAACAGAACACAAGTATGGAGAACACCGTGGACAGGGTTATCCACAGTTTAACAACGTGGCTGTTCCTGCCCGACTGCTCTGGATTTGGCCTGGTCATGGGGGCCTGCTGGTGGCCAGTGGCGGTTTTTGGGTGATGCTGTCTACGGAATCCACTGCAATCCCCTGCCCCTTTCGGGGATCGTCTCGCCTGGTTCTCGGGACCCTTACCAGTGGTCTGCGATTTCCTCTGCGTCCCCCTTTATGACCGCTACTTGATGTCTCATTTTCGCCAGATCCTTTTGAAAGTTTGAGACGAGCACAAAAGAATCGAACTTCTGGAGACCTCTCTCTTCTTGGCGCCTACAGGGTTGTAAGAGGAGTTGGGTCCCCCTCCTTTGGCCATCCCAGCTGCCCCCAGAGATTGCTCACCTAAACACTCTCCTCAGCCTCCAGAGGTCCTTGTCGACCTCTCAGCTGCTCTTCACCATCTGGCCTTTGCACCAAGATGACAGAGGGGAATTGGACAAGTTCAGGGAGAAGGAATTAAAAGGTAAGTTTATTTTGGTGCAAAGATTTCAAATCCATGCATTGAAGGAGTCTTCAACGTGGATGGAAAATGCGTGCCACGGAAAGTGTGGATTTCAAAATCCACTGCATAGCTCTCCAGGGTCCTGAAACACTGTTCTTGCTAAATCGAACCTCTCTGTCTTCCTCCCTCTGCTTCTGACCATGTTCACACACGTGTCCCACCTGTTACACGGGGGATGGTGATGCTCCCTCCTCCGGGGAGGTGGGTTCACGGGGACAGGTGGACGCTGTAGTCAGCCATTCGCTGTCCTAGCCCGCGTTCTATCGGGCTGTCAGGGTAGAAGGGAAAAGCTTCCGGGGGCCTGCTGAAGCTTTGAAAACAGGTCCAAGCCCTGGAGCCTGCATTTGTGACCGTGTGAGAGGCAGCCTTCACTGCCACCACTCGTTCCTCTTGAGGTGCCCCGGGTTCCTTTTCCACTGTAGGACTTTGGATGCGCTGCTCCTCTGCTTGGAACAACGTTCACCCTGCCCATCACGGTCCCAGCTCCTCTGCAAGTACCCTCCTTGGAAATCCTCCCACCTCAACTAGGTTCGTGCCCACCTCCTCCTGGCACGGCAGTTCTAACTGGTGCCCGCATGGTTGTAGGTGCTGGTATTTTGCTTCTGCCCCTATTTGCAGGAGACTGTAAGTGCCTCTTGCCCTGTTGCAGCCCCAGCAGCTCGTGCTGAGGGAACACACGGTAGGGCCCGGGGGGATGTCTCTTGCGGGAAGGGGTATGTGTGTGCCCTTACTTTAAGAAGATCTCCATCTTGTCCTGAAGGCAGAAGCCAGCCTCCTGGGCCACACTGTAAAACTTGGCCCTCATGCTGTTACACACCCCCATCTTGCAGTGGATGAGGTCATGGGTGGCCCGGCTGCAGACAGAGGAGAAGGGTTCAGTGGACACCACCCCCTGGCCTTGTGGGGCCTGCTCTGACCTTGCTGCCCTGTGGGGGGATTTCCTGAACCACCTGGGCTGTTTGCCTTCCCCTAGAGCCTCCCTCAGCCTCTCCGTGGGGGTGGGGAGGCCAGATCTTCAGGCCTTGCTAAATGAGCCTATGGTGATACACTGGCCCACTTGAGCCCGGCAAAGGTCATGGACAGTGCGAGGGCATTTGGAGTGGGGAGATCTGGGTTCCAGGTCCACACTCCTCAGCTGGGTGGCCTCACCCCCGATGTGGCCATGTTCCTGCCCACTCTTCCGTCAGTTTTGAGGACTAAGCAAGGTAGAGCAAGACAGCAGGTGCAGAAGGCTCCCCCGGTGCCTGGCACCATGCAGGGATGGAGCGCCATTGCCTGCTTTGCCACCCAGCATCGTGGCCAAAGACCCTTGTCCCTCAGCACTGCCTGTGACTTCCGCAAGTCTGGTCTGCACGGGGTCACTTCCACACCTCTGGGAGGCCAGAGAGGGTGGCCTTACCTCTTGGACTTCTTCTGGACTAGCAGCGTGTGGCTCTCTGCACTCGTGCTGCCAGACCGTTCACTGAAACACAAAAGTGGGATGGCTTCAGGTTACCCTGAGTCTGCTTCTCACACACAGGTGACCTCAGGCCCCCAGTGAACCTGCGAGCCTCCCGACTCCAGGGGAGGTGGGTGCCTCCAATCGGGGCACCTGTCATGGAACTCTGTGGCTTTTTCTCCACCTCTTTGCCTTCCTGGAGGTCCTCCTCGTTTCTCTCCCACCTGTTCACGTTGCCTTGTGGTCCCCAGCAAGTATTGACATTTGCACACTGCAGTCCCACTGGCCCTCTGCCTCTTAGCTGGGTCCCCAGCTCGGCATAACCTTGTTCTCTCCCGCTGGAGGGTGGGTTCTCTCTGGGATTCCTCCACCTTCCTCACCATCCCCAGAACTGACCCAGGGCCAAGTGCATGTTTGGAGACAGGATGGCCGAGTCCTCCCCGAGTGTCGCTGCCCCCGGATTCTCTCTCCATGCAAGGACTGAGTTGGACACTGCCTTAGGGGCAGACACAAATAGTTCCAGAGCCCAACCTAGCGGCCCCTGCTCTCCACTCTCCAGTCTGTGAGCAGTCAATTCCCCTCGGGACGGTCAGTCTCCTCCTGTGACCCTGGCTGAGTGCCTGCTCCCTCCTGGGACTGCTGCAGAGTTTATAGAACAGAGGGAGGGGCCCCTCTCAGGCCTGCCCCTTCCCCCAGTCCCCCTCTAGAGCAGGGCCTGAAGTGCCATCGTCCAGCACTTTCTCTCCTTCCAGATGCTCCGGCAATGGACCTGCCACGTTACCTGTGTGATTCCAGGGCCGTAGCAGCTTGGCTGTCTGTGTGAGGTGGGGCTGCCCCATCACGTCCAGTGCTATGACACTGGATGCTTCTTGCAGTGAGTGGGCCTGGACACATCCCAGACCCTTCCTGGTGTGAAAGGTCCTGACCTTTTTATTGCTTCTTCCAGAAGCTCATGGCACTGGAGCCAGAAGTCTTAGGCTTAGTCAGCGATTAGCAAACCCTCGTCCCACCGGGCAGGCACGCAGGCCCCAGGAGTAGCAGCCCGAACGCTGGCCTTATCTTTGGGCTCCGGTCGTCTGCCCCGACCCCTGCACGTGAATCCTTTGAGGGCCCGTGATGGCCCTGACCTTCCTCCTGTAAGTGGCTCAGATGGGAGATGGAGGAAACCAGGTAAACAAATGCTGCCTCTCTCTCCCCTCCCCTTGGTCCTCCTGGTGTTGCGTCCACACTGGTGTTTGCTCAGTGCCTTGAAGTCTCCTCCTGCCTCAGGCCCTTTTCGTGTGCTACCTCTGTGTGGAACACTGCTCCCACCTTTCCTTCCTCTGAGCCCAGCCAGTTCTTCTTCAGGTCTTTGCTTAAACGTCAAGGCCAGCACGGGTTAGGACCCTGGTGCTGGAAGTCCGCCCAGGCGTCAGTTTCCTTCGGAGCACTCTTCCCAGGCATGATCTCCTGGCTAAGGGTGGGGCTATTTGAGGGCTGCTGGGACCCCCCCCCACTTCGTTCAACCAGTGCTGCTTACACGTGGGCAGGCTTCGAGGGACCCGTGACTGCAGATATGAGAAATGCTACACCTTTATTCTAGCTAGACTTTGCTAAAGTGGAAGTCATGGGCATTTGCATATTATACTACAACTGCAGGAGATATTTTGAAAAATCATCTACCCTCACCACTAATCCAAAATTATAGCAGTTATTAGACCTGCTGTTAAGTCTTGTTAGATAATTCACTATAACGCAAGCTCACAGACTGCTATATCCCAAATATGGTTGCAGTATAGAACCTATATTGCTATAGATTTCGCAGTAATCATTTGCAATTACAGCACACATTTAAACACAGCTGGATGGAGTCCATGGGCTTTCTCAGGCTCCCCAAGGACCACAGATGCCCCAGATGTTATGACATCAGCCCAGTGAGATCCCCGAGGGATGAAGGAGTTTGTTTGCTCCTGGGTCACCCAGACCCACCACCATTGCTGGCACACAGAGGGGAGCTAAGATTATTCTTTAAATGAATTGGAGGGGACACATCCACCTCCCTCATGAAAAATCACCCAAGTAAAGAGGGCAGGGCTGTTTGACCCTGCGTCAGCTCCTCCTGGCTCCATACCTCACTACACACAAAGCACCACCCCCGGCTCACTTTACGCTGGGGAGAAACCCCTGGGTGCTCAGCCGCAGCCTGGGAGTGAAGGGGCCATTTCCAGTGAGGGCCCAAGAAGGAAGCCCCTCGCCCCATCTCTACCTCCCACAGTCTGGGGAGGGGCATCCCTGCTCTGCCTCCTGTTCAGGTTACAGTTCTCCCTACCTTGACTTGTGGGTGGTCTGTCCATCCTTGAGGGCAGAATCGCTCTTGTTGGGTTTTAACACTGACAGGATGCTGCAAAGCAGGAGGAGTCTGTTTAGTCAGGCTCTGAACGCATGGTGGCCCTGGGCTGGCAGACACGGGGGAGGGCAGGACGTGCTCCTGCTGGAGCAGGGATCTTCGGGTGCCGTGGGCACAGCCTGGAGAACGGGTTCAGAATATGGATTCCTGCCGCATTTTAGAGGGTTGGGTTCACTGGACCTGAAGTGGGCTCCAGAAAGCTGCATTTAGAACTGCACTGCCGGCGCCACGGCTCACTAGGCTAATCCTCCGCCTTGCAGTGCCAGCACACCGGGTTCTAGTCCCGGTCGGGGCACTGGATTCTGTCCCGGTTGCCCCTCTTCCAGGCCAGCTCTCTGCTGTGGCCCGGGAGTGCAGTGGAGGATGGCCCAAGTCCTTGGGCCCTGCACCCCATGGGAGACCAGGAGAAGCACCTGGTTCCTGCCATCAGATCAGCGCGGTGCGCCGGCTGCAGTGCACCGGCCGCGGCGGCCATTGGAGGGTGAACCAACGGCAAAGGAAGACCTTTCTCTCTCTCTCTCTCTCACTGTCCACTCTGCCTGTCAAAAAAAAAAAAAAAAACTGCACATGGGGCTGGCACTGTGGTATTAGTAGGTTAAGCCAGCATCCCAGATGGGCACCAGTTCGAGTCCCAGCTGCTCCACTTCTGGTCCAGCTCCCTGCTGATGTGCCTGGGAAAGCAGTAGATAGCTGTGCAAGTGCTGGCCCCCTGCACCCATGGGGGAGACCTGGAAGAAGCTCCTGGCTCCTGCTTGGCCCAGTCTGGGCCCTTGTGACTATTTGGGGCATGAACCAGTGAATGGGAGATCAATCAATCTCTGTAACTCTGCCTTTCAAATAAATCTTTGACACACAAACACGGACACATATATACACACACCAATAGGTGTACATAGGCACAGACCCATCTACAGACAGACACACATACCCCTAGAATTCCGAGCATACTGTGAAATCACATCTACGAGAAGTGCTGGTTAAGAAATGTGGCTGCCATGGGGGGCGGGACATGGGGTGCAGTGGCAAAGTTGCTGCTGGGGATCCCCGCATTCTACCACAGGGCCTGAGTGCAAGTCCTGGCTCTGCTTCTGATCCCAGCATCCTGCTAATGCCCTGGGAGGCAGCAGAGATGGCGTACATAGTCGGGTCCCTGACACTCATGCAGGAGACCAGGCCCGAGTTCTGGGCTTGTGGCTTAGGCCTGACTGAGCCCTGGCTGTTGTGGGCCTTCTGGGAGTGAACCCGCACACGGGAGAGCTCTCCCCTCTCTCTCCTCCCTGCCTTTCAAACAAATTCCAGAAACCCACATTGAGTGGGTCTGGGGTCTGGTATTTTTCACAAGTAGCCCAAGCCAGGTCTGGTCCCTCAGGGATGGTTGGGAAAGGGTATTTTAAGGAAGGGCATTGCCTTAGATGAGGAGAGAGGAGCCGTCTGGCCTGGAGGCCAGACCAGACCAGCTGGCTTTATAGGGGTTTCAGAAACCCTAGGATTCCATGTCCACCGTGGTGGGTGCAGCTTCGGTGCCTACAGTGACGAAGGAACCCGGATTTTAAGGGGAGGGGGCAAAAGGGAAGGTGCAGCTTTGCCTGAGGGCCCCTCAGCTCCACCATGTGGCCCCTGTGTGCTGCCTGAGTGGGACAGGAGGGAGCTGCTTCTCCAGGAGGAAGGAGCGAGTGAGGGATGTTTCAATGGACTCCTGCTCGGTCACCATGGTTATTGATCATTAAAAAAATCAAGTGCGGAGACCACGTGGGGGATCTTGCGTGTGCACCTGTCTTTGAAGACCCGGAGAAGTCTCTGAGATGTAGGCTGCATTTTGGGGTGCTGGTGGAGGTGCCTGACTCAGCCAGAGGCTGACCCCACCCACCGCCACCAGGGCTGGAGCACTTCCTGTAGGCCAGCCCATGCTAAGACAACACATAAACGCATCCTCTCACTGTGCACTTAAAATGACTCACGGACGCAGATGTTAGTTCTAGAACATGCATACTGCTTTGCAGGGGTCATATCCCTGGTGGTGGAGTGCTTGCCACAGCCCTGCGGGATGGGTTACTGATCAGCCTCACTTTGAAGAGCTAGAATCGGACACAGAGAAGCAGTGGCTGGCTCAGCGCCACCTGATGGTTACGTATGGGGATGTAGGTTGACCCTGGGCTCTGTGGATCCAAAGCTGACGCCACCTCACCCTACAGCTGAGAAAACAGAGCTTTAGAGAGAGGCTGAGTGGCTTGTCCGAGGGTGCTAGGATTTGGATGCATGTCCGTCTGACCCCCAGGCCAAGGCTCGTGGTCTGAGCTCTTACAGGGAGGATCGGGGCCCCTCTGAACTGAAGCTGTACCCCTCACTGTTCCCTGTCACTCATGCTGACAGTCGGGCCCAGCAGTGGGGGCTTTGGGGCCAACGCTGTCTCTGGGCACCCCCAGTGTCACCTCCCAGAGCCCTGATGTGAGCCGAGGTGGCAGCAGACAAATTCATCACCAGTGAGAGCAATGCTTGCTGAACTGTAATTACGGTAATAACAATAACCAATAAGTCAGAGCCGGCATCCCCGTAGGCTGAAAGCAATGATGATGAACCTCTTCTGGTGCCTCATTTATTCTCGGGAAGCAATTTGCTTACTCAGAGGAATCTACACTTGGGCAGGGAGCGCCAGCTCCAGCCCGCGTTCTCTGAGGCTTCCCACAGGGAGGAACGGGTTCAAGTCTGACACCACCTCCTTGGGAGTCCCTCTATCCCTCCGGTCGCTGACCTGACACATCAGAGAATTCCTGTCCCACTTGGGATAAAAACCAGAATCCTTGAGGTTGCTTCCAACGTCTCCAGCCCAAGTTATGTTTTCCCCATATCCCATATAGGCTGCATTTCAGTTTCTCAAAGGTACTGTGGTCCCTTTTGACCACATTGGCACATCTGCTCCCTGTAACAGGCTCTTCCACCTCCATGTCTCTGCCTGCAATCCCTACCCTGGCCTTGGCAGGCCGGCTCTCTTTCATGTTTCATCCAAGATCACAACTTCAAGTTTCTGTCTTGAAGGCGATTTCTCTGCTCCCCACCCCATCCCAGACTATATTCAACACCGTGCTTGTCCTCACAGTTCTGAGCCTTCCTTTCCCAACGCCTCAGTAACAATCAGTACCCGGCCTGCACACTGGCATCTGTGTTCTCTCAAAGACCAATGAGCAAGTACTGCATCCTGGTAGGTGGTGTAGCAGGGCGGTGAAGAGAAAGGTTTCTGGAATTAGATCTGGATTTGAGTCATGGTCTCATCATTCACTCACTGATACACCTTGGACAAGTCACTTAGCCTCATTTCCTGACTCATGGAATAAGGATAACAGTACCCAGCTCAGAGGGCTGTGGTGAGAACTCGGGAGGTGATACCTACCAGTGCTTGTCACGGAGGAAATGCTTGGTCATGGGTAACTGCGACAGTGAATGTTATCACTGCACGGCCAACATTCTTCACTCGCCCGAAGGAGGCAGGAGAACATACCTGGGTGCTTTCTTCTGCAGCCCGTTTTCCATCAGGATCGTCCGCCGGGCATGCTCCCGAACTATCTCTAGGAGCTTCTGCAGATCTGATGGGAACATAAAAGGCCATTCTTGAGTGCAGGGTACCCTGGAGAAAGACCTGTGCTGGGCAGCGCCAGAGCCTAGACTGGGATCACCTCTGCCTCTCTAGGGAGAGGGGTCTGACAGCTTGTGGTGGAGCAGCTTGTGTTGGTCGGTGGGTTGTGTATCTGACCATGCCATGACTCTTCCATTCTCTTTCCAGATTCCTCTGCATGGCTGGTGAGGCCTCAGGGATCTGCTCTCTCTTTTCTCCCCTCGAACAGAATCTGGGGTGGGGCAACTGGCCCTCATTCCTGCTGCAGGCTGGCCATGGTCTTTTGCTGGGCAGGGACTCTCCAGCTCCCCCTGGCTTCCACTACCCCTCACTTCATTAGGTGACTTTTATTTTTAGACTTGATATTATTGATTTTTTTAATAGTGTAGAAATACTTCTTTAACCTGAATGTTAGGGGTTGAATTTGGGTCCCCTTCAAAAAAAAAATAGGTTGAAATCCAGTATTTCTTTTATTTATTTGACAAATAGAGTTAAAAAGAGAGAGAGACACAGAGAAAGGTCTTCCTTCCGTTGGTTCACTCCCCAAATGGCCACCACAGCCAGAGCTACACTGATCCAAAGCCAGGAGCCATGTGCTTTCTCCCGGTCTCCCATGCGGGTGCAGGGGCCCAAGCACTTGGGCCATCCTCCACTGCCTTCCCAGGCCACAGCAGAGAGCTGGACTGGAAGAGGAACAACCAGGACTAGAACCTGGTGCCCATATGGGATGCCGGAGCCACAGGTGGAGGATTAACCAAGTGAGCCATGGTGTAGGCCCCAATCCAGTACTTCTGAATGCAACCTTATTTGGAAACAGAGTTGCTGCAGATAAAATTGGCTAAGGCAATGTTGTACTAGAGTAGGGGAGTGTTTAATCAGTGTGACTTGTGTCCTTATAGTGAGAGTAGAGACACACATACATGGAGAAAATGACTGGGTGATGATAGAGGCAGACTGCAATGATGCATCCAGAATTCAAGAAATGCCACTGATCACCAGTAACCAGCAGGAGCTAGAAGAGGCAAAGAGAGAGCCTCTCCAGAGACATCAGAGGAAGTGAGGCCCTGCAATCACATGGATTCTGGATTATCTGGCATCCAGAACTATGAGACCAGTAGCCTTCTGTTGTTTTAAGCCACGTGGTCTGTGGCAACTTGGTTATGCAGCCCTGGGAAACTAACACATGGGACAATCTCAAAAGTTGGAAAGTGAAACGGAGTAAGCTGTGCATTCCAAGAACACTGGTAGAGTGGGAGTGAATGATCCTGTCTTATATAGTCCAGTCCCCTTGACTCATTTTTACTCCCTTGTGTGGAATCTTCTGATGCAAAACCATGGGCTTTGGGCCATCCTTTGCTTTGAGTTGTAGCTGTCCGTGGTGCTGAAATATCACAGTGTGATGACTTGATGACTACAGCTCCTCCAGAATTTCTCCTGATTTATGATCAAGGAGAGAGGAGAATGCATATGGAATGAGGATCAGAGGAAAAACACCAATAGAGAGCCACTGGAGGATCAGAAATGTCTCAAGAAATAAAAGGGAATAACTTTTGGGATGGTTTTCAAATAATTCTAGGAACCAAGAAGAGAATACAATCCACAATTACTGGAACTTGAGCAACTGAAACAATAGTCTTAAAAATGCATTATTTGGGGCCAGCGCTGTAGCATAGTAGTTTAAACTTCTGCCTGTGGTGCACGCATCCCATATGGGTATGGTTTGAGTCTCAGCTGCTCCACTTCTGATCCAGCTCCCTGCTAATGTGCCTGGGAAAGCAGTGGAAGATGGACCAAGTCCTTGGGCCCCTGTACTCATGTGGAAAACCTGGAAGAAGCTCCTGGCTTCGGATTGGCCCAGCTCTGGCCATTGCAGCCATTCGGGGAATGACCCAGGTGATGGAAGACCTCTCCCCCTGTGTCTCTCCCTCTCTCTAACTCTGGATTCCAAATAAATAAATAAAATCTTTTTAAAAACTGGACATGATCTTATGTGCTTACACTGAGGGCTACACAGTATGGTTCTTGTGGCAGTGCAAATATTACACAAACTGGGACTAGCACCCAGACTCTGGTCTCCTGTGAGAGGAGATGAGCAGAGACTATACCGACAGAGCTGAACAAACCTCTCCCCTCTAATAAGAGAAAAAACAAAAGAGATTTACCATGCCGAACTTGGGTGTCACCTTGAACACTCCCTTCACTCCAGAGCACTGAACAGAGCTCCCTGGTGACTCCTACCACATGCCTCTAGATATTCACTGAAAAAGCAAACACTCCACTAAGACACAGAGGCATAATCCAAAGACTAGAGCCATAATAGGAAAAAAAAGAAACCAATGAATATCACCACAAATGCCAAATAATAAATGCAGCAATTCAAGAAACAAGAATAAGTAAAACATGATGACATCACCAAAAGAATACTTCAATACTAGAATGTGAAGATGAAGAGATTGAAGAATGCCAGAAATGGAGTTGAAAAAATTGATTGTAGGATTTCTTAGAAGTAATCAAAAGCAAATCCCTGAACTAATGAAATCCATACATAACATGAAAGAAAAATTCTGCCCCAAAATTGAGATCTTAAAGAAAAATAAAAATGAAATCATGGAAATGAAGAATTCAATAGACCAGAAAAGATGCAATGCAAAGTCTTAATAGAATTGGCAAAGCAGAAGAAAGAATACCCAACTTAGAAGATAAATCACAGGAAATTATATAGTCAGACAAAAAATAAGAAATTAGAAAACCAAAGAACACTGCTGTAAATCTACAGGATACTATCAAACTCCCTAACATACAAGTTCTACAAATTCCTGAAGGCATGGAAAGAGAGAAAGGATTAGAAGGCATTTTAGTGAAATAATAACAGAGAACTTCCCTAATTTGGAGAAAGAAAGGGACATCCAAGTACAGGAAAAACACAGAGCTCTTAAAAGACATGACCAGAAAAGATCTTCACCATGATCCATCATAGTCAAACTCTCCACAATCAAACATAAAGAAAAGACTCTAAAATGTGCATGAGAGAAATGCTGGATTACTTTCAGAGGATCTCCAATTAGACTCACTTCTCTTCAGAAACCCTACAGGCTAGGAGAGAATGGTGAGATATATTCCAAGTCTAGAGAAAAAACTGTCAACCCAGAATACTGTACCCTACAAAGCTCTCATTTATGAATGAAGGTGAAACAAAGACCTCCCATAAAAATCAGAAATTGAAAGAATTTGTCATCATCCATCCAGTCTTACAAAATGTGCTTAAGGATGTGCTACATACAGAAACACAGAAATATGATCATCACTACAAAACAAGGTGAAGCCAGAAAATTTCCCAGTAAAAGTACAAAGGAAATCCAAACTAAACAATAGAAATATTTATGGAAAAATGGCAGGGCCAAGTGGTTACTTCTCAATAGTCACCTTGAAGGTAAATGGCCTCAACACTCCAGTTAAAAGACACAAACCAGCTGAATGGATTAAAAAACAAAACCCATATGTTTTCTGCCTACAAGAAACACATTTCACCAACAAAGATACCCACAGACCAAAAGTGAAAGGATGGAAAAAGATACTCCATGCTAATAGAAACTAAAAAAGCTGGTGTAGCCATCCTAATATCAGAAAAAATATACTTTAAACACAAAAACTATTAAAAGATACAGAGGGGCACTATATAATGATTAAGGGATCAATTCAACAGGAAGAGGTAACTATTATGAACATATATGCACCTAATTACAGGGCACCTGGATATTTAAAAGAAATGTTAAGGGATCTAAAAGGAGACATAGACTATAATACAATATTAATGGGGGACTCAATACCCCACTTTCAGCAATGGACAGATCAGCCAGACAGAAAATCAGCAAGGAAACAGCAGAGTTCATCGAGACTATACATCAAATGGACCTAACAGATATCTACAGAACATTCCATCCTACAGCCACAGAATACACATTCTTCTCATCTGTGCATGGAACCTTCTCTAGGATTGACCACATGCTAGACCACAAAGCAAATCTCAGCAAATTCAAAAAAATCAAAATCATACCATGCGCCTTCTCAGATGACGCAATGAAGCTGGAAATCAGCTACTCAGGAATCTCTAGAACATATGCAGACACATGGAGACTGAACAACATGTTACTGAATGAACAGTGGGTCTTTGAAGAAATCAAAAGAGAAAGAGAAGATGACAATACAACATATCAAAACTTGTGGGATACAGCAAAAGCAGTGTTAAGAGGAAAGTTTATGGCAATTGGTGTCTACATCAAGAAATTGGAAAGACACCAAATACATGAGCTATCAAAGCATCTCAAGAATCTAGAAAAACAACAACAAAGCAAACCCAAAACTAGTAGGAGAAAAGAATTAGAGAATAAACAAAATTGAATACAAGAGATCAGTAAAATGAAGAGCTAGTTTTTTGAAAAAAATAAACCAAATGGACACACCATTGGCCCAACTAACCAAAAAAAGGAGAGAGAAGACCCAAGTCAAAAAAATCAGAGATGAAAAAGGAAATGAAATGACACCACAGAAATAAAAAGAATCATCAGAAATTACTACCAAGAGCTGTATGCCAACAAACTGGGGAAAACTAGAAGAAATGGATAGATTCCTGAACACATACAACCTACCTGGATTGAGCCATGAAGACATAGAAAACCTAAACATACCAGGGCCGGTGCTGTGGTGCAGCAGGTTAATGCTCTGGCCTGAAGTGCCAGCATCCCATATGGATGCTAATTTGAGACCTGGTTGCTCCACTTCTAATGCAGCTCTCTGCTATGGCCTGGGAAAGCATGCCATCTTCTGATGGCCCAAATCCTTGGGCCCCTGCATCCACATGGGAGACCCAGAGGAAGCTCCTGGCTCCTGGTTTTGGATTGGCACAGCTCCGGCTGTTGTGGCCAACTGGGGAGTGAACCATTGGATGGAAGTCTCTCTCTCTCTCTCTCTCTCTGTAACTCTCTGTAACTCTTTCAAATAAATAAATAAATCTTAAAAAAAGAAAACCTAAACATAACCATAACCAAGACAGAAACTGAATCAGTAATAAGACTTTCCAAGCAAAGAAAAGCCCAGGATTGGATGGCTTCACTGCTGAATTCTACTAGTTCTTCTTAAAGAAGAACTAACTCCAATTATTCTCAAGTTATTCAAATTGAATGTTCAGTATTTCAAAACTGAAAAGGAGGGAATCCTCCCAAATTCTCATGAAGCCAGCATCACCTTAATTCCTAATCCTGAAAAAGATAAAATGGAGAAAAAACTATAGACCAATTTCTATGATGAACATAGATGCAAAAATCCTCAACAAAATACCAGCCCATTGAATCCAACAACACATCAGAAAGATCATTCACTCAGACCAGGTGGGATTTATCCCTGGTATGCAGGGATGGTTCAACATTTCCAAGTCAATCAATGTGATAGATCAGATTAACAAATTGAAGAACAAAAACCATATGATTATCTTAATAGATGCAGATTAAGCACTTGATAAAATACCCTTTCATGATGAAAACTCTAAGCAAACTGCGGATAAAAGGACCATTCCTCAACACAATCAAGGCAATTTATGACAAACTCATGACCAGCATCTTGTTGAATGGGAGAAAAGTTGGAAGCAGTCCCACTAAGATCTGGAACCAGACAGGGGTGTCCATTCTCACCATTGCTAGTCAATATAGTCCCAGAAGTCTTAGCCAGAGCCATTAGACAAAAAAAAAAAAAAAAAAAAAAAAAAAAAAAAAAAAAAAAAAATCGAAATCAACGGAATTCAAATTGGGAAGGAAGAAGTCAAACTACCCCTATTTGCAGATGACATGATTCTATATATAGGGGATCCAAAAGACTTCACCAAAAGATTATTGCATCTCATAGAAGAGTTTGGTAAAGTAGCAGGAAATAAAATTAACACAAAAAAATCAACAGCCTTTGAATATGCATACAATGACACAGCTGAGAATGAATCTCATTCATAATAGCTACCAAAAAAAAAAAAAAAACACCAAGCCGGCGCCGTGGCTCAATAGGCTAATCCTCCACCTTGCGGCGCCGGCACACCGGGTTCTAGTCCCGGTTGGGGCGCCGGATTCTGTCCCGGTTGCCCCTCTTCCAGGCCAGCTCTCTGCTGTGGCCAGGGAGTGCAGTGGAGGATGGCCCAGGTGCTTGGGCCCTGCACCCCATGGGAGACCAGGAAAAGCACCTGGCTCCTGGCTCCTGCCAGGATCAGCGCGGTGCGCCGGCTGCAGCGGCGGCCATTGGAGGGTGAACCAGCGGCAAAGGAAGACCTTTCTCTCTCTGTCTCTCTCTCTCACTGTCCACTCTGCCTGTAAAAAAAAAAAAAAAAAAAAAAAAAAAAAAAAAAAAAAAACACCAAATACCTTGGAATAAATGTAACCAAGGATGTCAAAGATCTCTACAATGAGAATTATAAAACATTAAAGAAAGAAATTGAAAAAGACACAAAAATGGAAAATCTTCCATGTTCATGTATTGGAAGAATCAATATCATCAAAATGTCTATACTTGTGAAAGCAGTTTACAGATTCAATGTGATATCAATCAAAATACCAAAGACATTCTTCTCAGGTACAGAAAAAATGCTGAAATTCATATGGAAACACAGGAGAGGCTTCAAATAGCTAAAGCAATGTTATACAACAATAACAAATCCGGGGCACCACAATAACAGATTTCAGAACATACTACAGGGCAGTTATAATCAAAACAGCCTGGTACTGGTACAAGAACAGATGGATAGAGCAATATAACAGAATAGAAATGCTAGAAATCAATCCAAGCATCTACATCCAACTTACCTTTGACAAAGGAGCTAAAACCAATCCCTGGAGCAAGGACAGTCTCTTCACCAAACGGTGCTGGGAAAACTGGATTCAGAAGTATGAAGCAAGACCCCTGCCTTACACTGTACACAAAAATCCACTCAATATGGATTAAAGGCCTAAATCTATGACCAAATACCATCAAATTATTAGAGAACATTGGGGAAACCCTGCAAGACATTAGCACATGCAAAGAGTTCTTGGCAAAGACCCCAGAGGCAATCAAAGCCAAAATCAACAGATGGGATTACATCAAAATGAGAAGCCTCTGTACCACAAAAGAAACACTCAGGAAAATGAAGAGGCAACTGACAGAATGGGAGAAATTATCTGTAAACTATACAACTGATAAAGGATCAATAACCAGGATATATAAAGAGATCAAGAATTCAACAACAAAACAAACAACCCAGCTAAGAAATGGGCAAAGGACTTAAACATTTTTCAAAAGAGGAAATCCAAATGACCAACAGACACATGAAAAAATGTTCAGGATCACTAGCTGTCAGGGGAAATGCAAATCAAAACCACAACAAGGTTTCACCTCACCCCAGTTAGATTGGCTTTCATACAGAAACCAACAAACAACAAATGCTGGTGAGAATGTGGGGGAAAAGGGTACCCTAATCCACTGTTGGTGGGAATGTAAACTGGTAAAACCACTATGGAAGACAGTATGGAGATACCTCAAAAATCTGAATATAGACCTACTATATGACCCAGCCATCCCACGTCTTGGAATTTACCCAAGGGAAATGAAATCAGCATATGAAAGAGTTATCTGCACCCCCATGTTTATTGCAGCTCAATTCACACTAGCTAAGACATGGAATCAACTGAAATACCCATCAACTGAAGACTGGATAAAGAAATTATGGGATATGTACACCATGGAATACTACACAGCAGTTAAAAAAACCTGAAATCTGGTCATTTGCAACAAAATGGGTGAATCTGGAAAACATCATACTTAGTGAAATAAGCCAGTCCGAAGAGGACAAATACCATATGTTTTCCCTGACCTGTGATAACTAATAGAGGACCTAAATGGCAATCTGAAGAAGTGAAATTGACACTTTGAGAAGCAATGACTTTGAACATCCCTTCTCTTGACTTTTGAGGAACAGTTATTTTTTCATAGTATTTGTTGAACTCTTAACACTAAGTTAATCATATGTTTATAAAGCTAATTGAAAATAGACCTTAGTAAAAAGTAAGAGTGGGAATAAGGGAGGAGAAAGATGAGGGGAGTATCAGTGGGAGGGCTGGTACAGTGGGAAGAATCACTATGTTCCTAAAGTTGTATTTATGAAATGTATGAAGTTTGTATTCTTTAAATAAAAGGTTTCTTTGGGAACAAAAGACATAATCAGACCTATTTTTTGTAAAAAAAAAAACAAACTTGCATTAGCAGTGCAACGTGTTTGCATCTCCTCATGAACAAACATACTATATGCCCTGTTCTATTTAGAAAAAAATAATTCTTGGTTATTTTTTCCTTGATGAAAAATACTGGTGGCTTTGCACTGTCTCAGAACAGATGGTACAGTGGCTTGTGCTGGTTTCATGCACATTTTGTTTTTTAAAGATTTATTTATTTACTTGAAAGTCAGAGTTACACAGAGAGAAGGAGAGGCAGAGAGGCAGAGAGGCAGAGAGAGAGAGAGAGAGAGAGAGAGAGAGGCACTTCCATCTGCTGGTTCATTTACTCCCCAGTTGGCAGCAATGGCTGGAGCTGTGCCAATCCAAAGCCAGGAGCCAGGAGCTTCTTCCTGGTCTCCCACATGGATGCAGGGGCCCAAGGACATGGGCTGTCTTCTACTGCGTTCCCAGGCCACAACAGAGAGCTGGATCGGAAGCAGGGCAGCTGGGACTCGAACCGGCACCCATATGGGATGCCAGCACTGCAGATGGTGGCTTTCCTGGCTATGCCACAGTGTCAGACCCTCCTGCACTTTTGACGGGTCTATGACATTTCCCTCCTCCATGAGTCTGGAAGCACGTTGTCTTCCTTGCTTCTGCATCCACTACACCTGCTGCTACCTGTGGACTCCCAGAGCACTCTCTCCTCCTAAGCTCCATCACTCCACTGATTTCACAGGATAGTAATTTCTTGTTCACTTGCAGGTCATCCCCCCTATGCTATTGAGTTTCCTGAGAGCAGGAACCACTGTTATTTGTCTTTATTTTTTTATTTTTTTGATAGGCAGAGTTAGACAGTGAGAGAGAGAGAGACAGAGAGAAAGGTCTTCCTTCTGTTGGTTCACTCTCCAAATGGCTGCTACGGCCGGCGCGATGCGCTGATCCGAAGCCAGGAGCCAGGTGCTTCCTCCTGGTCTCCCATGCAGGTGCAGGGCCCCAGCACTTGGGCCATCCTCCACTGCCTTCCTGGGCCACAGCAGAGAGCTGGACTGGAAGAGGAACAACCAGGACAGAATCCGGTGCCCCAACCGGGGGGACTAGAACCCGGGGTGCTGACGCTGCAGGCGGAGGATTAGCCAAGTGAGCCGCGGCATCAGCCTGTTATTTGTCTTTCTGTCGGTGGTACCTCATGCTATGCTCAGCACATGGTATCTCAGGCAATAGTTGCTGAATAAATGAACAACCAAGGAGAGAGAGGAGGGATTTGGGAGACTGGTGAGCGAGACTTGGGTAACAGTGATGGATGATAATGGCACGCAAACACTTTGAACTTCGTATCAGGTGCCTACAGTCAGCTGAAGCTGCTCTGCTTATGGCCTGGGAAAGCAGTGGAAGATGGCCCGGGTGCTTGGTCCCCTGCAACCACATGGGAGACCCGGAAGAAGCTCCTGGCTTAGGATCGGCTCGGCTCCAGCCACTGCAGCTATTTGGGGGAGTGAACCAGCACATGGAAGACCTTTCTTTCTGTCTCCCTCTCTCTGTAACTCTACCTCTCAAATAAATACAAAATCTTAAAAAAAAAAAGAAGAAGAAGAGCAGAATGAGCAATCTCCTTTATAAAAAAAAAAAAAAAGAAAAGCCACCTCTGAAAGGGAGTCCCAAAACCCAGACCCTGCCAAACCATTTGTGTGCAGTCCTGTCTAATCAACACCATCTCTGTGCTCCGGGGACAGAGCATCTTTCTTTAGCGACTTTGAAGTGATCTAGGATGCGATGCTAACATTTGGCTATTTTCTACTCCACCTCCTTATTTTCAAAGTAATCTGTGGGCACGGATACCCTTGACCTGGTTCTGATCTTCATATCCACCTGCCCTCCTGCCACACATCCCCGAATCCTTGAGGGCGGTGTGTGTGTCTAGAAGTCTGTTGGCATGGGAGCCTGTGTCTGGTTTCTCCACTTTCTTCCCTTCTGCTGGGATCCAAGCAGCAACACGCGACTGCCGCCCCACCTCTCCCTCTTACCCATAAACAAATCAGCCCCCATCAGGTGGGGTGTGTGCCAGCAAATGACCCCAGTGATCCGCACATCGGGGAGCCCTTCTGAAGAGTCACAGAGAAAGCCTCACACTCACTCAGTGCACCACATACTTTTTCGCTTTGCCTGCCAAGTGCCTCTGGGCAGACTGGTGCCCACTGATACGTGGAGCCCCATTCAGCACGTGGCTGACGTTGGAGATGTGTGCAAAAGAACAAAGTCTTGGGACCCCTCAAGGTTTCCTGGGAGAAAGGACTTGTTTGCTACAAAATGGGGTTCTCCTGAGGAATACAGGTCTTCTGACAGATGTCTGCACTCTTGGGAAACTGCTCATCTCCCAGCTCCCAGGGCTGTGGGGACGCCGTTAACCACGCCCAGAGGCAGCGGCATGCTGCGTTCTTAAATGTCCATCACAGCCATGGAGAAAAATATCCGAATTCCTTACTGCATCTTCCATCCCCAGCCTGTCAAGAATCTCACCCACTTCTTTCTGGGGAAAAATAAGATCTTTTTGTTATACGGGGGTGGTTTGAGGAGGAACATGAGGGGGGCAAGGACCTGTTATTTGAGTTGCTATCCAAACAACTTTGTCTTGTCATAGTTTCAAGACTCTGAGCTTCAAGACTGATGGAAGGAATACCCTTGCCAGTGAGGTGGGGGCGGGGACCAGCCCACGGAGGGGCCATGACCTGCTGTCTCTGGCGATGTCATGTGCAGCCACAAGGACTCCCTTATGCAGCCAGCCCTGAAAATGAGCCTTGGTCAAATGGGGCGTCTCTCGGAATAGGACTCACAGATTCAGAATCAACTGGACGTGGTTTTAGGAGGCAATGAGAGGCTGGGAAATGAATCTGCTTTTGTCAAGGCTGTGACAAGCGGGACGGAGGTGAAGGTATAAATGGAGGAGAACAGCAGTGGGGCCAGAGTGGGACGTTCCCTTCCAGGGTGGACGTGGATTAAAGGCGTTTCTCAGCTACGGCTGTGCACATGCTGTGTGCCAAGCTGAAGGTGAGACCTTCCGGGCCTCCCACCCACGCCTGCAGGAAGCTCCCATTCTTCACCCATTCTTCTTCGGTGACAGAACCAGAGTTCTTCCTGTGCATGTGAGAGGAGACACTCACTGGCTCAGTT